CACTATATCACTGACATAGAAATAAATATGGGTATAAAAACAAAAACAACTAATGGAGCACTAAATTTAACAAATCCATTTATCAATCATAAAACCATTTACCGTTCACTTACTACAGTGGAATTTATAAAAACAACCTATGCAGACAATAATATCATACGAATCATAATTTTATATAAGATCAGCAACATAACACATATTATAAATCTATACACATCGTCAAATAACCAAAGAATAACTGTCACCATTTTTCACTAGTCTACTAGTATCCATTTGGGTTCATAGGGATGTCCCTGCTACACGTGAACCCTTTCTTTTAACAATATCAATTATGAGTCGTTCTCATACACCCTCCGATATGAGTGCCAATTTATTAAACCTCAATACCCCATCCGGTATGAGGGAGAAGTGGGTCGTCCTCATACTCCGTCCGTTATGAACGCCAAATTATCAAGTCTCCATACCCCGTCCGGTATGAGACAACATTCACGGTAGGATTTTTTATGTACCCAGTTCGTCCACCATCTCCTAGAATATTCAATAAAGCTGTCATTCCATCTGTTTATTTAATCACACAACTTTTCCGTTTTTCTTTAGTCCCCATTTTTCAAATCGACTAAGATCACATAAGTAAACAAACATGCATCAGGGAATATAATCATATCTCAATTTCTCAATCAAACAGTAGTCACATAAGGCAACAATTCATGCATTCAAATAATAAAAGTGATAAACTAGATATCATCATACTTTTAGACTATAAAATAAATTAACAGAAATCAACAAAGAATAATTTTCAGTTCGGGTTCTATTAGCAATCCGTAATTAATTATGCACATTTATTTAATTTGTATAAATACCATATTATTATTTATTTAGACTTCAATTCTATGATAGGGAATAGGGTGAGGGATCCTTACTCGATTTAACGTCTGAAAAGTTAAGCTATTTACTGCGCCTATGGGCGGTCCTAGGGTGAGGGTTCCTTACTCGATTTGACGTCCGAAAAGCTAAGCTGTTTACTGCACCTATGGGCGGTCTCTAGGTTCCCTGAATTTTTCTCCAGGAATCGAAACGCGCTAATAGTACCTACAAATATTTCAAACAAACTCAAAATCAGTCCCACGACCCACTCGGTAAATTTTAGAATTCCGGCGACGACGATCCTCCTCGAGTTGGCTGTTTTCGGTCGTTTCGGCCAAATTTAGTCGATTTTACATCGATTCCTGTGAGAAAACACGTTAAAAGGCCTCCGTTGGTCGAAAAAATACAAAAAACTGAAACTCACCGGCAGCGGGGCTCTCCGGTATGGCGGTTCCTCCCGCTCACGTTGCGATTGGGTATTTTGCTCTGGTCAACCTATAGAGAAGGACACAGTAATTACAACGGTAAAAAATTACACAGAACAGGAATCAAAAAAGGCCTCATCGGATGCATTTTATGAAATTCCCTGCGGCGGCGCCACCAAGCTTCGCCAGTGTTTTCGGCCATTGACCAGTCTTTTACTCCGATTTGGCCATGGGTGAGCTTACATTGAATTTTGTGCAAAAAGAAAAAGTTTTTACTTTTTTTGGCAGTCGGAAAGGGTTCTGGTGTGGCGGCGGGTGGCTGCGATCGGCCTCCCCCGACGGGTAAGTCGTCTTTTTCGGCGATGAGGTCTGGCGGCTAAGGTTAGGGTTTGGTATGAATGAAGGTTATTTATATCCGTTCGCTTTGATTTGGGCCGTCCATGCGTTGATCTGGACCGTCCGATCGCGATTAAATAGGAAGTGAATCTGCACCGTTCATTGCGATCCAATTTGGACCGTCCATCGCAATTCACTTTGGGCTGTCTGATCGCGTTTGAATCTTGCCGTTCGATCGCGTTTGGGAGGGAGCGCATCTAGGCTGTCCATGCGCGGGGGAATGAACTTGGGCCGTTCGATTGCGGGCACGCGAATTGCCTGCGTGGTACCGCATCAGTGCCCGTTGCCACGTGGCGCATCCAGGTTCGTCGGGGCTGTTGGCCCGGCGTCCCACGTGGTAGAACTTCTCCAAATTGCACTTTGACTCTTGATTTTCGATTTTTCTTTCAAAAATGCCCACAGAACTCAAATTTTTACCTATTTTCCTCAAAATTGTTTCTAATTTCATCATCATTCAATTTTTACTTCAAATAAAATAAAATAAAATAATTAAAAAATTACATTTATTAATTATTAAATTAAAACAAATTTTTGTGGGTGTTACATTAGTAAAATCTTTTTTTTTTAAATAAGTTTTACCAACGTCTTATTACCAGTACTAATGTAATGATCCACTTTCTCTAAAGAGAAATAAGCGGTAACCCGTGCATATAACTTGATAAATCTGTGAAACAATATTCTAAACTTTAAAATTCAATCATATATCTCTTGTACGGAATTATAAATCATGAGATTCATTAAAACTCATTACATTACATTATTATAAGAATCTATTTTACAAAGTAATATTTTAAAAGTCTCTAAATGTTCATTTAGAGTTTTCTTTCGACTTTGAACGTGCTCCTGATCCAAAATAATCTGCACTGAGGAATGTGTGAATTAGAGTGAGTTTCACGTACTTAGTAAAAAAAGAGAGTGTTTATAACAAAGACATGCATTCACCCATCACATCATATTTATAAAATATATGCAAATTTTATTTAAAACAAAATTCTCAAGCATAACAATAATTTTATATATCAGACAGTACTTTATATTTAAAGAAATCTAATTTGAAAAACAATCATATTCATCATCATTACCGCTAAATATAACCTAAAAAAAAACAATCACGAACCTCATACTTTTCATTACTCATTCTCAACATGATCATATTTAGATATTATACATATCATTTTTATTCATAAATATCATCATATCATATTGGATTCATATTCAAATAATTTTATTTCGTTCACAAATACCATCAACCATGTCAGGTACGTATTCAGGTAGTTTCTATTTTCAAGAAAAATAATACTATCAGTTCACACAATCATTCATACATAACATTAAGATATCGTTAGAATTACAGTGAGAAGCATAATTAATACACATATAAAAAAATGTGAAACTTTGGGTTTCTTACCATTTCATCAAAACCAATATTACTTACCATTTTTATTTCTATTACATATTGTTATTTTTATTAACAGTATCATTGGGAGTCCATAGAGATCCCCTCTACATGTGAATATACAAAATATTTCTTTTATAATTTATCAGTCGTTCTCATATCCCGTATGGTAATGAACACCACAATTATAAATCGTCTCAATACCCCGTCCAGTATGAACGTAATTAAATCAATTCGTAACCTCATACGGTATGAGATTTCTTAGCCCCGTATGACTGAGAACACATCTATGGTAGGGTTCATCTTATATATCAAGTTTGTAAATTCTCTTCTATGATAACTGATAACTTGTTTTCTCTTCAAAAGTTACTTCTATTTTATGTCATAACTTTAAAAACTCAAAAATTTACGAGATCTTATTTTTCAAAAGAAAAATTCACATCCAACTACACATATATATGCAAAACACACAATATATTTGCATCGATATCAACTTATATACACAATTACATTGTCATTCATATGCATATTTTTCAAAAATATATATATACACTAAAACATAATTTGAAAATAATCTATAAAATTTTAAATTCAGTGACCAAAATTTTTAGAAAAATATGTAATTTCGAATAGAAATTGACTCAATTTTTACTGCTTTATTGAATTGAACTAAATTTTATAAATTGATCGATCCTCACAAATTTCTTCAGTTTCTAAACCAATTTCTCAAATTTGTTTAGAAAATCTCAATCCTTATAAACCTTAGAACCTAATTTCACTTTACTTTACATATTTTTTTTTTTATCTAACCACTATTATTCTTATTTCACTCATCAATTTATTTCTAATTTAATTCTCCCATAAAATTACTTTCCTAAACCTTATTAGAACTTGCTTACAACATTTCCTTTTCCAAAGGTTCCAAAACCTCAATTTTATTTACTATTTCTTTTACATATATACACACACACACACACACACACACACACACGTGTAGACTCACATTTATATATGTATGTATATATATATATACACATGACTACACGTACATGATTACACTATGTGTGTATATATATACAACGCGCACCCATACCCACTATATTTATATACATCTACACCAACACGCATATCTATATGTATATAATTTTTGCATATACATACCTATTTGCAAATGCACAAACATATATGTGTAGATATATGGACACAAATACATAAACACTGCATATATATTTTTATATATATAAGACGCACACACATACCTAATGTATACATATATATGACTACACTAACACGCATATGTATATACGTATACACTGCATATGTACTTATTTATAAATGTACATGTATATACACAGACATGCAAAATAAACGCTGCACATATATATATAAAATTTGTACACATCTGTCGTTTATATCTGTTTCTGCACTAACACCTATATATATTTATATATACTGCATATCTATAACTGCACATATATTTATATTTATATATATATGTATTTATACATATTCAAGTATACATACATAAACACAAAACGGGGGGGGGGGGTTGGTGGTCGGAACTATGCCAATATTACCTCCGATGAGTGACGGTGTTTGAGGCGCTCTTCTCTTCTTCGTCTTCTTTTATTCTCCGCCCCTCTCTTCTGCCCCTTAGTGTTTTTATTTTATTTTCTTGTTGTTACAACTAACATCAATGTGAGGCTCAAAAACATTCCCTTTATGAGATTTTTTTAATTCATAATATTACCTATGAGGATTGTGAGGAAAAAAGAAAATCAATTAAAAGTGTATTATTCTTTGATGGGTTATATCTATAACTCTTATATAAAAAAGAAAAAAAAACTTTTAAGAAGTACAAAATTAGATTTTACGTAAAAAAAAAATATGTAGTAGATAAAATCAACTTTGCCTTAATAGATTCCTACCTCTACTGGAGTCTTATGAGAAGAAAGATGTTTTAACCAAAAAAAAAAAAAAAAAATTAAGATTCAATAAATAGAACAATGGTGCTACAAGACAGAAGCAGCAAATGAATTGAATAGAGAAAAAATTGCTTCAATGGATTCGAAAAGTTCAAAGATTTATTTTAATAGTGAAATTTCTGGATCAATGTTGAAGAGAATGTTACTATTTGTTATATTAAAAAGTTTGAATAATTATTGTATTTCAGTTTGGTTCCTTTGCTATTTGAAAACTAATTAAATTATTTCATCTCAATTGGTTCATCGTTTTGAATATTTATGTGTCAACAGGCTTGAGAATTTTATATAAAAGGAGGGAGGGGATGCTGGTTTGAAAAAAGCTGTAAAAAAAATTGGGAGCTTCAAAAGTAAGGTTTATCACAAATCGTTTTATTTATTACAAAATTCTAAAAAATTAATATTATATATAGATATATGTATATAAAAGGCATTGGGTTGAATATTATTAACCTATCTATAGTTTGGTAATTTTTTCTGAAAAAAAGACCAAGTACAATGATTGTGTTGAAAATTCAAAAAGAAAAGCACTTACTTACAAGAGGCTTTTTCTCTGAACACTTATTGCAATCTACATTTCTCAATAATTTACCATTCCATTAGTGCCGTTGGAACCTTTATTTTATTGTGAAATGACATTTAAATTGAATAAAGAGCTCTTTAATTATGCCGCAATTAACACAAAAGGGTGGACAGGCTCTGATTAATTTAGGTTCAGACACGTGGCAACTTTTTCAAATCTTTAGAATTTTTTTGGCAACTAACCAAAATGTCCTTTCTTGATAGTTTACTCTTTTTTAAAAAAAAAATTTATTTAAAGAAGAAGGCTCAAAAAAAATATTCGTTGTTTTATCCTCAAGTTAACGACTCTCAAACTCCCCCCCCCCCAAAAAAAAAAAAAAAAAAAAAGAGAAAAAGAAAAAGAAACTTCATATTAACGGTCACATTTTTAAAACCAACATGATCACGACCATCACCTTTGATTTACATAATTTCTTTTTTTTCTATACGATCAGATATATATATATAATTAAGAATTGATAATAACTGAGTAAATAATTTAAGCATCTTATCGATCATCTTCTTTTTATATAATATTAATTAATTTATTTTTAATTTAAAAATATATAAATAAAATTATTGAGAATTACACTCCATAATTATTTTTAGAGAAATATATCTTATAATTCACCGACAAATTTATTCCACTTCAAGTATGATATTGAATCTGGATTTAAAATACAAATAAACAAACTAATTTTTGAAATAAATTAAATTAAACCACACTGTCGTTTATTAAAATTATCAACACTTCAAAAAAGTTTACTTTTAAGGAAAACTGTAAAATATTGGATATTTATAAAATTAAACAGAAACAAATTAATTAAAGATTTAATTTTAAATAAGTCACGTAAAATTGAAATGAACTATCGAATTTTTCTGCAAGATTCAAATTATTTTATTATTGATTGAACAGAAGCATTAAAATTTTATAAAAGAGGACACAGTCATCATTTTGAACACTTTATTATGGAAATTAATTAAATTAAATGCACTATTTAGTAAAATAACTAGTTTTCTGTTTTCATAATTAGTACGAGTAGAAAGTGACGTTGCATCCAAAATCTCGCTACTCGTGGAGGATCAAGCAAAGCTAAATCCTAGGAACCGTCTCTGCCGCTCTCTTGTTCCCTTTATAACGCGCTTCTCATTTTTCTTTACCTTCTCACAATTACATTTCTCTCTCTCTCTCTCTCTCTCTCTCTCTCTCTCTCTACTCCGTCATTTTAAACTTCCAAATCCTCTCTCTCTCGGCAGAGGGCGTATCACCATCACAGATCTCTCATCTCAACGGCGACGCTTTTCCGCCGGGAACCTATCGGATCCACTTGATCGCGCTGTTATCTGTCGCCGGCGCTGATTTCTTACTTCGCACCGACCTCTCAGGAAAATGGAGAATCTAATTTCTCTGGTCAACAAAATACAGAGAGCATGTACAGCGCTTGGTGACCATGGAGATACAAGTGCATTGCCTACTCTTTGGGACTCCTTGCCCGCGATCGCCGTCGTCGGTGGTCAGGTGACTCCTTTTTCTTTCGTCAATTTCATTATTATCTGTTTTACTCACTGTTTCATAGAGCTAAGCTTGTTTTGCTTAACTGTCTTGTTAATCTCATATTTGGCTGTTATGTTGTTCTGAAATCGTTATTGTTTTCGTTTTGGCCTTGATTTGCTGGTTTTCTTCTATGTTTCACCAACTTTGACAGTTTTTGGATCTTGAAAGCACGAGCGTTATTAAGGATTAATGGCGAGTTAGTCTCATAGATCTTCTGTTTAAATTTAGCTTTGACTAGAACCCTACTTTTCCAACTTACGTACAAGTAAATTAAATGACGCATATTATGTAAGGTTATCTGTGGATTGCGTTTAAGATTACTGCTCCTTGATCTTCCCTTACAGGTATTTATTATTTGGGGATAGTAACATTTATACTATGTAGAGAGGAGAGCACTGCTATTATTTTGGTTTTATTTTGTATTTCATAACTTGCTTTAAGTGTTAATGAAAGGAAAATGCTGTTCTGGAACCCCCAAATGATTATACCGTTTGTCTTGCCCTTCCTCCTCGAGCGAAATATATCTCTTTATTCTTATTTATTGATAATTGTCTAACAGAGTTCAGGGAAGTCGTCGGTGCTGGAGAGCATTGTGGGCAAGGACTTCTTGCCCCGAGGATCTGGTGATATATCTTCTTACACTCATGGATGCACTTTTTTGTTGCCATATCCTTATTAAGTGTGAACGTTTTTGCAACAAAATTTTTGCAGGGATTGTTACTCGTCGTCCCCTTGTCCTGCAGCTGCATAAGAGTGAGGAAGGCAGCAGAGAATACGCAGAGTTTCTTCACCTTCCGAGAAAACGATTCACCGATTTCTGTAGATATCTTTCTCTTACTTTTGTTCTTAGCTTTATTCTCATTACATGATATTATGCGTGTTATTGTTGCAAGTGTTAATGATAATTAAATCTATGTAGCTGCTGTGCGGAAGGAGATTCAAGATGAGACTGACCGAGAAACTGGCCGCACCAAACAAATTTCTAGTGTTCCAATTCATCTCAGTATATATTCTCCTAATGGTAAGGGCAGGAATGTGAATCTCATTTGTTTACTGCTCCTTGCTACCTTTGATGAATGCTAGTTCTTATGTACAAACGAAGGTATTAGACTCAAGAAATTTTATTGCTTTAGCACACCATTGTTAATTAATGAGATAAAATGGTTGTTTTGGGATAAAACCTGATTGCCATGTGGAATATCCCCGTTATGATTTTCAAACATAATAACTTTCTTATCTGGTCTTGCAGTTGTCAACTTGACACTTATCGATCTTCCTGGGCTTACAAAAGTAGCAGTTGGTGAGTTTCATGTGCTTTTTAGTTCTTTACGTGTAATGATTTATTCTCCTGCTTTCTGTTGGATTCCTACGTGGTCAAAGGAAAGTTAAAGTGATATGTTCCTTAGCCCCTGGGGTCTGGTTATAGGGCTTGAGACAAAAAATCATAAGAAAAAAAAAGAAACTCGGAACGCATTTGAATTCTTCTGCTTTTCTGGCCTGTTCTTCCTGGAAAAGTTTGGGTTCATTAAGAAAGAACCCGCTGCTTTGTGTAAAGAAGTACTCAAGTACACTTTTAATTAATTCTCTGCCTCCTTTTTATTTCATGCAGAACTGATTATATATACTCATATTTAGGACAAGATAATGACACATAGCTACCTCTACAGTTTAGGTGACTTATCTTAGCTGAAGTAACCAACTCTTTGCTACAAGCAAAACGAAAAACTGCTGCAGATAAAGATAAGTAAACAAAACATAAACTGCTCACACATCTGCAGGCTATCAAGTCAACTGCCGTGTGAAATCCTGATGAAAACTCTATGTGCTACTGTTTTACTTCTACTATGGACAATAACATCAAGCGAAAGGATATTGATATACTTGGCTACTGAACTCTATGCCTCCAGTCCTTCTGGTGAAACCGAGAATTATTAAACCAAGATTTTGAGAAACTAGTTAGAATTCCTTTCTTCAGAAACTATTAGAAAAAATAAAATAAAAAAGTGACATTTTACCATAAACAAATTGAGGTTGAATTCTTCATCATGCTTTGTTGTATAATTTGGCAGTTGAGGCTAACTTATTTTCTTGGGTGATGCAGAGGGTCAACCAGACAGTATTGTGCAGGATATTGAAAATATGGTCCGGTCCTACATTGAAAAGGTAAATAATGTTACAAGTGCCTGCAGTTTTTCGTTCTTTTGCTTTCCTTCTTTATTTTGTTACCATAGTTAAACGTGCTTCTTGAATGCTTCATTTATACTTGTATGAGAAAAATTCCAGAATAAGTGGTTTTCTGGTCCTCGTTTGGTGGTTTTCTTTGACTGATTTTTTGAATTTCCATGTTATGTTTTTCAATATGCTTTTAAATCTACATTTTCAAGGTTAATGCATTAATGAAAGTTTGAACTGTATGCAGCCCAACTGTATTATTTTGGCAATTTCACCAGCCAACCAAGATCTTGCTACGTCAGATGCAATTAAAATTTCGCGTGAGGTGGATCCTACAGGTATCCTTTTCTGATATTGTTATTTGAATTAATAACAGTTCTTTTCCCTACTTAAACCTGTTATTTAATACTCTTCTAAGCTTGCTCACGTTCTCCCCATAGAGAATTATTTGATGCTCAAAATAAATTTCAAATTTTATTTGAATTATTAAACAGTTCTTTTGCCTACTATATAACTTTTATTTAATATTCTTCTAAGCTTGCTCAGATTTTCCCAGTGGAGAATTATTTGATCACTCAATAAAATTTCAAGTTTATTTCCTGTCTTATAAACTGTACAGTTGTCAATGAGTTCTATATTGAGGAAAAGTTTGAAATACCACGATAGTTCTCCAAAATTTCAAGTGTTTTTATGAAAATTTTCAGGGGAGAGGACACTTGGAGTCTTGACGAAGATTGATCTTATGGACAAGGGAACTGATGCAGTCGATGTAAGCCGCTCTTAGTTTCTTGTTTTCATGGCGACATCCAAATGATGCAGTCCATTTCTTTGTTTAACTTCATCTTCAGTTTTACAAGACAAGAACATGAAGAATTCTTGTTGAGAAGTCTCGTGACTATATATACTTGAATATTTTCTGGCTTTTGATGCACAGCCATGGTGTCTGGAAATGCCAGTTCAGTACTATCTGTTAAGTGTTCCACATTGACCTGTGTACAATTGGCTTAACAAGGATACTGGTTTTGCCAGATGATGTACCTTGCACATCAATTTTCATGAGTGACTCTTTACCTTGTTCTCTGAGCTGCCCAGGGACATGAGTAGACTTGTGTCCAGTGATGGTGATAGGACTGAGTTGGTCCAAATGTCTCCATGTGCAACAAATTTCATGAGTAACCTCACATCTTTCTTTGAGGATCCTCCCTTTCTCTGTATAATCTTGAGTGCATGGCACAATTAGTTGCAAATTCCTTTTCTTCTTTTGAAATTATTGAACATGTGGCAATTATATATCATATGTTTCAGACATGCTTACGAGCATTTGGAAGCATTACATGTCTTTGGCATCATCATACTCATATCTTGGTTTGCTTCAGATACTGGAAGGGAAAGCTTACCGACTAAAATTTCCTTGGGTTGGTGTCGTGAATCGTTCACAAGCAGATATCAACAAGAATGTTGATATGATTGCTGCTCGACGTCGAGAGAGAGAGTACTTTGCTAATACCCCAGAATATAAGCACCTTGCTCATAGAATGGGCTCTGAGCATCTAGCAAAAGTGCTTTCAAAGGTAGGAAATATTTATATTAGTAATTAATTTTTTGTATTTGGAGAAAATCAAGATACTCCTTGTTTTGATATTAACTGTGTCTTGAGAACTTAATCATAATGGTTCATATTTTTTCAGCATTTGGAAACTGTAATCAAGTCCAGAATCCCTGGCATCCAATCCCTTATTAATAAAACAATTATAGAACTTGAAACTGAATTGAGTCGCCTTGGAAAGCCTATTGCAGCTGATGCTGGGGTAAGTTTGCTGCATCATTTCTTAAATTATTATCTTAGACACTTGTTTAAGGTCAAATTTATTAGTGCTGGGATCATTTTATTACTACCTTTCATTGATCCGAAAGGTCAGAACAGATAGTGGAATAGTCATGTGTGTGGTCGTGTGACAAAAAAGGATCTTTAGAAATGCTAATATTTGTGCTTTGTGACATACAGGGGAAATTGTACTCAATCATGGAGATTTGTCGTCTTTTTGATCAGATATATAAGGAGCATCTTGATGGAGTGTATGTATTTTATTTTCACTATCTCCTCGATCACCCCTTTTTAGCTTCGTTTAGAGCAAGCTGAAAGCAGCAAATTCTAAGTGTTAAACAAAGATATGTTTGATTTGTGTATGCATGTCCCACAGGCGCCCTGGTGGTGATAAAATTTACAATGTTTTCGATAACCAACTTCCTGCTGCGCTTAAAAGGTTGCAATTTGACAAGCAACTCTCCATGGAAAATATTCGGAAGCTCATCACTGAAGCTGATGGATATCAGCCTCATTTAATAGCTCCTGAGCAAGGATACCGACGCCTGATTGAATCTTCTTTGATCACTATCAGAGGTCCTGCTGAGGCAGCTGTAGATGCGGTATGCATGAAAACTATTATATTAAGCATTTTGTTTGTTTTCTATTAATTGATTCACCATATATATATATTTGTTTCTAAAAATGCATTTTCCTTGTCCATGAGGTTATTTAGTAACAAGTCACTATTTTTGAAACTTTCCTAAGGTACTTAATTCTTTCAGAAAAGTTCTTCCTAGTTTTTTGATGAAAAAGGTCTCCATAGTTAATCTTCCTTATCAAACCATGGTCTAGGTCATCATATTTATTGATCCACAGTTGTCTCAAGACAGTCATTCAATGATATCATTCACCTGTGTGTTTCTCCATGACAATTCTGTAAACAGCCCTTATTATTTTGTCTTTCTTTTTTCTCTTTGCTTTCATGCATCATGGCTGTATGCCACAGTTCACCTACAGGTTGACTTCCCTCACATCAATAATTGTTGAATAGATTGGATGTTGCACTCTGTCAATTCACTGTGGATTGATTTGTTTTATTTTCATTCAAATCGTATTCACAGGTTCATGCAATACTGAAGGATCTCATCCACAAAGCTATCAGCGAGACTCCAGTATGTTCCTGGCCTAACGAAATATTATTTCTTTGTCCTATTTTGTGTCTCAATGCTTTAACAGTACATGCTTCTATTTCATTCCAAGTGGCACAAAAAGGATCATCATTGTTGGACTTCCTACATGTTCAATTATTATGAAGTAAACATGTTCAATTATTATAAAGTAAACATGTTCAATTATTATAAAGTAAACATGTTCAGTTATCTCTAGGCTTGTAAAGAAACGGCTACTATTCTTTTGACTTTGCTTCAAAATGTCTTTCATATCGTCAGTGACAAATAAATTTTTTTTTTAAAAGGAAGGTTGATCCAAACTTGTAGGCATGGGGGTATTAGAAATACGTGAATTTAGGAAAATAAAAGTGAAAGTCCCAGCTCACTCTTATAACACAGCATTGGCATTATGACATTCATGTGAAAAGAAAGGGAATTTGAAAACAGGACATATTCCTGGTTTTTGGTTCATATATTAGACCATGTTTGCAAGCATGCATATTGAAGAGGAACAGAATTATTTATAAATTATTTATATAAAATAATCAGATCCCTTCAATTTTTATATGAGCTTTTAGTATAAACTTTATAAAGCATCCACGGTGCTTGATTGAGACAGATGCTTAACTAATAAAATGTTCTATCATTCTTTATTTGCTTGATTCTCAGGAGCTAAAGCAGTACCCTGCTCTTCGAGTGGAGGTTACAAATGCAGCTTGTGATTCACTTGAAAGAATGCGGGAAGAAAGCAAAAAGGCAACACTTAAGCTGGTTGACATGGAGTGTAGCTATCTGACTGTCGATTTCTTCCGGAAGCTTCCACAAGATGTGGACAAGGGTGGCAACCCAACACATTCAATTTTTGATAGATACAATGATTCTTATCTGAGGCGAATTGGTAAGTTTTCTTTTGTCTTCAATTTCGTAGAAAAATGTCGCAAAAAGCCCTCAAAGATCCACAGTCTCATATCTACCACTATGAAATTTGTCTTCTTCTATACTTATGAACAGGAACAACCGTATTGTCTTATGTCAATATGGTCTGTGCAAGTCTTCGCAACTCCATTCCCAAGTCTGTGGTTTACTGTCAAGTTCGGGAGGCAAAACGAAGCTTACTCGATCATTTCTTCACTGAGTTGGGCAAACTGGATGTGAGGACAAATTCCAAATTTTGTATATAATATCTATCCTCTATTTCAAGTGAAATCTAAAATTTTTTGTGAATATATATGGTGCAGCAAAAGCGTTTGTCAGCCTTGTTGAATGAAGATCCTGCAATCATGGAGCGACGGAGTGCCCTTGCAAAGAGGCTCGAGTTATACAGGAGTGCACAGGCAGAAATTGATTCAGTGGCTTGGTCTAAGTAGATATACTATATTTTCAATCAACTTTTTTTTCATGCAGAAATGTGTCAATTCTTTGATTTATACGGAGGAGGAAGGAGACTGTATTTTGTAGTAGTAATACACATCCAACGTCTGTTATCAATATCTCTTAATTTGTCACCGTTGCTACAAACGTAAAATATACAGGCTTTTCCAGAGATCGTAACGATACCTGTTATCAGTATCTCTTAATCTGTTATCAATGCTCCTTATAAGTCGTAATTTGCAAAATATTGGTTCTCTGTTGTTTGACTTATAGGCTTCAACAGTTTGCGGTTTCTAATCTTGGAAAGTTGAATCTTTTTATAAATTTATATTGAATAAAAAAATAGAATTTGTGTTGATGAATTTGATTCAGTTGAAAAAATAGTGAAACTTTTGTGAATTTTTTTTTGAAAGATGATATAAAAAAATAATATCTAAATGAAATAAAATAATGAAAATTTTTACAAATTCATAAATTTATTTCAAACAGAGCTCTCCGAACCTGCAACCACAGGATTTATGGTCTGAAGGATCTCTTCGCTCAATAAATTTCCACTTTAAATCGTTCATTTAATGTACCAGTGCGATGCTCAACTTTCTTCTGAACGTACATGTCGACAAAATCTGAATTGTACAATGAAATCTTCAATAATTTTAATTGATCATGATAAATTAAAAGCCAATCGTAAAAAATGCAAAACATAATTCCTGAGGTAAAATTAACTGTAATGGGTATATAAATATACACACATGTACGTACTTAAAAACGATTATGCAAAAAAAAAAAAATGTTAATTAATTTTATCATTTAAAATAATTTATAGATATACAAAAGTAATTTTATCAATAGATGATATCAATAAAATTTATTTTAAAATATGTAAAACTTTGATTTGAATATTAAAAATGTATTTTTATATACAAAAAACCTTGAAAATTCTTTCGGAAAAAATTGTTTCTCCAGTATGGAGCTAAATCATTTTGAATTAATTATTAATTTAATGATTTTAAATGTGCATATCAATTATTAAGTCATTTAATAAATTTTGATAGGACAAGCATCTCCTGCGGTGTTGGTTGGAAGTGAAGAAGCTGAGAGTGGGTTGGACCTAACTTCTGCAACCCAACCTGGAGGCCCCATCATAAATGTGCGCAGTAGCCATCGGTTGATGAGTAAGCTAACGGCGTCGTTTCACACACGGAACCGGGAACCTAATCATGCCCGACCCGAGACACCACCATGTTTAGAAAAGACGGGCTCCTCTGGTTTGCCTCCTCAACCAACATCTTCCTTCCGACCCAGTCATTTCAAAACTTAATTCATGTCCAGTTCCTATCATACCTTTAATCTTTTATATCTTCAGCTTATCAAGGGGATTCAAGGTACATTGTCTTTTTAATCTAGCTCTTAGTTTCTTTTCTTAAGCATTTTCTACCATAGTCAATGCGTGATAAGCATTTTTCTTCTTTCGTTCCAAATCATATCGTACGCGTGGTGTCACCGATCTAGTCGGTGTTTTCTCCTTTGGAAAACAGTTCTCGTGCGCGTTGCTTCGCTTCATCTTTTTCCCTGATAACAATGACAATGGCGATTCGATTGTTTCTGGAGCTCAAATTAAGCATTATCTCTCGTTGGACGTCATTTATGGATTTCAACTTAACATAAGCTTTGGCTGTTGATTTATGCTTAGTTGGATTTCATTTTTTTTAATGAACAGTGCACTGTACATGTAGGTTTTATCATCTTCCTTGAAGTTACCAGAGTAAAATGTTCTCCGATCTCTTATATTTTTTCCTTATCAGAAGAATTCCTGCTTAGTTGGAAAATATGTAGATTAGACGCATATGTGGAATCAGTGCGTGTATGTTTCATGCATTCCCTTTCTTGCATATCATCATAGTTTATTTGATGAATGTGCTATAGTTTTCGCCCGTCTTTTCTTCATCACCTATCTTAAACTCGTTGAGGTGGAAAGAATGTGATACAGCCTAAGCTATATCTCCACTGTGCAGGTGTGCTCAAACAGAAGGGAAAGACATTTAGACGAGGAAAGGAATAGTTGAAGGAGGGAGGAAGGAAGGGAAAGAAGATAATAGGAAGTAAGCATTATTCAATCAAGCATTCCTCTTTTACTATCTGTATGTCTATTTGTGCACTGCTCTTGCCTTTAATTTCGCATATTACTCTGTTCTAACTGATCTAACTACTTATGATTAGCTCTGCCCTCTAAATCGCAACTGAATCAACTGCCCTCTAAATCAGATCCTCCCACGTCAGAAATACCTTTATTCACAGGGGTCAATTTGTCAGGATAATATTGTTGGTGGTCATAGAGATAGTGCACTGTGCATTATCAGGTTAAGTGCCATTCAAGTGCACAAATAGCTGTGCTGCTGGAGCTCAACCCTGTGAACAATTCTATATCTAATATTGCAATGGGTCTAGGGTGCTCTAAGTCATCAATGTTGGGAAGAATGAGAATAGGTTGTTGTATATTATTTAACTCTTCTTCAGTCGAGATACGTGAAGAACTGGATGGATAGAAGAGTCATGTGGTGGATCCAACTTGTAAGCAACCTGTCCCACTTGAGCAACAATTTTGTAGGATCCACGTTAAGCAGGGGAGAGCTTTTTGGTCAGTCTGAAGTGTTATCTGTTTCGTTGCAAATTGACATAGACAATTACCTATATAGTACTGGCAGTTAGACCTATGGCAATCAGCTTGTTGTTTCATTGAGTTTCTCACTCTTTGTAGGTGTCGCTTGAACAAGGAGAGAGTAAGTTCCTGTAAGTGAGAAATCTATTGACAGCCTTGATGGAGTATCTCCTGGAAAATAGGGTAAATATAATGGTGGTCAATAGCCATTAGGATTTCAAATGCTGTAGCATTGGCTGATGTGTAAAATGATCTATTCTGCCACCATTCTACTGAAGAAATTTATTGCACCATCAGTTAGGGGTTTCTCTAGTCATGCAGCAAACACATATTTTCGCAAACATGAATTAGTAATTTCTATTTGGCCATCAGTTTGTGGATGATAGGCAGATGAATGACTACTCCTTGGAGTTGAAACAGTTCATTCCAAAGATTGCTGAGGAATAGGAAGTTCTGGTCACTTACCATAGAGATAAGTAACTTTTGTAGCTTGAAGATGATGTTTAAATAAGCTTGGGCTACTGTTTTAGCACTAAGGGATATCTAAGAGGAACAGAATGGATGTATCTGCTTAACCTGCCCATGACCACAAAGATGGATTCCTTGCCTTGTGGAGGGGGAAAACCATCTATGAAATCCATGCCATTGCTGCACTACACATTCTCAGAGACTGGAAGTGGCTATAGTAGTCCGGTTTGCTCCATGCTGTCAGGTTTAAATTGTTGGCAAGTGCAGCATGCCTGAGAAAGTTCCTGACATCTTTTTCGAATCCTTTCCAGTATAACATAGCTTGTGGCCATTTCACAGTAACTTGCATTCCTGAATGACCTAGTATAGTGGACTGACTGTACAGTTGTATTAGTGACCATCTGAGTTGAGAGTTGTTTCCAATCACACTCTGTGTTCACTTCACAAGATGTTGTCATCCCACGTTAATGGGCTTTTTGTAAGCTTTTTAATTGAAGTTGAGAGATCAACAGTTTCAAGTGAAGGTTTTCACACTAAGTTTCTCTAATTGCAGCCATAGACTACAATAGCTTAGAAACTATGAGTTGAAGTAGTTCAGCACCATGAGTTCCAAAGATAGCATCTGCTGCAAGCTTATCTTTACCCTCTGTAATGATGTCAAAATCATAACTGTGCAATTCAGCAAGATATCTTTGTTGGTCCCAATAGTGATTTGTTGTTGAAGGAGGTATTTCAGACTTTGGTGACCAATCTTGATTAGGAAATTCCTCCCTGTCAAGTAATGTATTAGGAGCCCTAGACATAGACCCAAACAGGGAAAAAAATTTGGAGAGAAAAGTGCAGAGTGTGAAAAAGAGGAGGGAGAATAGAGAGCTTAAGGAAGAAGAAAATGAGCAGAAGGGAAAGAGAGTATAGAAGAATTAGAGAGAAGAGAATCCGAAAATAAATTTCTCGGAAGAGTGGTTGATGTTTCTTTGAAATTTTTGCATAGGTTCTCGTTACATTCGTACTGTCCTATTTCTACTGTAAATTCTAATTCAAAATAGAATAGTACATAATACAGAATATCACCGAAATAAAGAGCATAGCTATAAAGAAAAACAGTTATATAACTAATCTAAGAATCCAGTAACTATTCTGAGCTTAGCAAAATTATTTTGGCTAATTACTACCATTTTGGTGTAACCTCATGGGTTCCCCGCTTGAGGATGCGGACTCCTCTAGTAAACCTTAAATGGTTTCACTGGTGCAGGTCCTGGATCGGTTACTGTGTAGGGAGTGTTGGTCCTAAAAATTCCCCTTCCTCAACAAGAATCTTGTTCCCAATATTAGTGATGTGGGGGGTTTTGATAGGATCAAGAATTGATTGTTCCAGAGTCTTGGATTTTTTATTTTGGGTCATCCTCTTTAACTTATGGAGGTGGGGATTTTGATAGGATCAGAAATAGATTGTTCCAGGGTTTTGGCTTTTTGATTTTGGGTCATCATCTTTATCTTATGGAGGTGGGGACCTTGTTGACATTTTATTAGATTTGTAAGTTCTTTGTATATGGGTTGGTACCCCTTTGGTGCCTATTAATATATTATTTTACTTTTTATTTTTTCCCCTTTGGTGCCTATTAATATATTATTTTACTTTTTATTTTTTTTATTAAAAAAAAATCTTCCCAAGTGGCATCTTCTTCTTCCCAGTTAAGCCACTGAACTAGCCCTTGTTTAAGGGGATTGCCTTCCTTGAACACAATTTGGTCCTATAGAATCTTAAGTGGCTCCACTTGAAATCTTCCTTCTTGGTCTAGCTCTAGCAAATCTTCAAAATGGGGCTTGTTGCCTCAATAGTGTCTTTTTAACTGAGACACATTAAATTCTGGACGAATTTTGGATTTTTCTGGTAACTTCAGCTTGTAGGCTACATGGCCAATCCTTTTCTTGATGGTAAAGGGTCCAAAAAATACTTTGCGAAAAGCTTCAAATTCTTTTTGTATGCCACTGAAACCTGTCTGTAGAACTGCAGTTTTAGGAGGACCAACCTCTGTTATTCAAATTATCTATTTGTTTTATGACTATCCACGACTTATTTCATCCTGTTGTGGGCAGATTGTAACGCCCCAGAACTGAAAGGGAGATAAAGACATTAATTGAATGCAGAAGCGAAATAATAGAGTTAGGGTTTATATTTCTTACACAATAATTTAGAATACCCAATAGGGATACGAGAATTACCCTTCTAAAAAAACAAGTAAAAATCAGAAAGTAAATGAAAAGTAAATAATTAGGTATTTTAAGACGATATTCACTAACCTTTGAAGGGAATCAATGTGGTGGACTATCCACAATTCTCTTATTGATCGGAATCTGGATCTTGGTTCTCTTGATGTGAAATGGTTAATGAAAGAATGAGCTACACTAGCACAGTAAGAATATCACACTACTTACCGATACAAAAATAAAGATTGGTAAAAATTATAACAATAACTAATAGAGCTCTTAAATTAAGTAAATTCATTTATCATAAATAAAATCATTTATTGCATATTTATCGTAGCGGGATTTCAAAAACCGACCTATAGAGGTAAAAACACAAATAACATCATAATCTCATAATCAATTAAGCAGAACAACAACTTTTCCTTTTTTATTTGCTTACTGGTATCCCTGTGGGTACATAGGGATGTCCCACCACGCGTGAACCCATAACAAAACTTGTCAACTAACCGGCCGTCCTCATACCCCGTCCAATATGAGCGCCAAAAGTACCATCCCTCAATACCCCGTTCGGTATGAGGGTGAATTGGGCCGTCCCCATACCCCGTCCGGTATGAGCGCCAAAAATGCCATTTCTCGATACTCCGTCTGGTATGAGGTAACATTTACGGTAGGGTTCCCTATATATCCGGTCCGTCCACCATCTCCCAGGTTATTCAGTAAGATAACCGTTTCATTAATTCATTTAACCAAGTAATTTTCCATTTACATTTAATTTTCAGTTTCACAATTTAACTGTAAATCATGCAAGACAAGCAATACATGCATCAAGAAAACACAACTGAATCATCTTACCAATTTCAGTGTATTATCATGTATTTAAAACTGTAAAATCAAACAATCAGTTAAAATAGGACAAATAGTAATAAATAACCAGTTCCGCTTCTATTAGTAATTTGTAATTAATTATCGAATTTTTCTAAATTACGCAAAATACCGTATTATTTATAATTAAACTTAAACTCCATAATAGGGAATAAGGTGAATGATTCTTACTCGAATCGGTGTTCGAAACACCGAACTTTCAGCTGCGCCTACTGGCAGTTCCTGAATTTTTCTGCAGAGGTAAAAATACACTTCATGTACCTAAAAATATATAGAAAATCCCAAAATCGGTGTTAAAAATATTTTCTGACTAATTTTAAAATTCCGGCACAGCAGCACCGATGTGCTTCGGCGATGGCACCGCCGCTCGTGGCGGCGGTTTGCTTCGGATTGTCCGTTTTTGGTCAGTTTTGGTCGGTTTCGGCTAGTTTTGTACCCATTCTTGTGAGAAAACACGGTTGGCCGAAAAAAGTCGAAAAACAAAAACTTACCGGCAGTGGGATTTTTCGATGCAGGGGCTCCGCCGGCTCACTTTCACGGTTGGGCTTTTTTTTTTGGGTCAACTTGTAGAAAACATAATGGTGAACACAATGATGGAAAAATCGCACGAAACGAGAAATGGGAAGGGGCTCATTGGAAGCGATTTTTGGTTTTTCTCGCAGCGGCGCTACCGGATTTACCCGCAGTTTCCGGCTCATCCGCTGCTCCTTTTGCTACGATTTGGCCATGAGTGTGTTCAAAATCAAATTCTGAGCGAATAAGAGAATTTTTATCTTTTCTTGGCGGTTGGAAGTGGCTCCGGCGTGGCGGGGGGCGGCGGTCGGCTCCCTTCTCCGGCGACTGGTTCTTCTTCTTCGGAGGGGGGCTGGCGGTTAGAGTTTGGGTTCGGTGTGAAGTGAGATATTTATACCCGTCTCCCTTAAATTTAGGCCTTTCATCGCGTTTAAAGAGAAAATGAATATGAACCGTTCATCGTGTTTAATCGCGATCGTCCGATCGTGTCTGAGGTGTGAACAAATCCGGACCATCCACGCGCGCAGGAACGCATCCGGGTTGTCGGATTGCAGGCACGCGGATTGCCAGTGTGGCCTTCTGCGTGGCATCGAGTCAGCGTGCCTTACTACGTGGCGCGCTCTGGTTTGTTGGGGCTGCTGACCCCGGTCCTACATGGTGCATTTTTTGTTAATTGCGTTTTAACTCCCAGTTTCTGATATTTCTTTAAAAAATACCATCCGAATCCAAATTTTCACTCATTTTTTTTCAAAATTGTTTTCAATTTCATCCTTCACCTATTTTTTTTTCTTAATTTTACATTAAATAAAAATTTATAAATTTAAAAATTATATATATATATATATATATATATATTTTTAATTTTAAAATTAATTCCGATCCAAATTTCGGAACTAGGTATTACACGGATAGCAGCTGTTGTCTAGGGAGGCTGATCATTTTCTATCTTTCTTCCCAATATTCTTCCACCTTCGCTGTTGGTGTTTCAAAATCAAGGACCTCTAAATGATAAGG